CAATCTTCCCTTGCTAATACGTCTAAGCTTAACGATCAGAGGGGCCCTGAGGAACTTCCTGCTTGGCTCACTGAGGAGTTAATTGAGTTCTCCTTTGCCGTGACGACCTGGGTGTCGTTCACTAGGACAGAAAGCGACTTTTCCCGTTTCGCAGCGCGAAACATTTTCGCTGCAGAACCTCGGTCCACCGCTGCGTGGACCTGAGGTTCCTGCAGCGAAAAATGTTTCGCGCTGCGAAACGCGAAAAAGTCGCTTCTGTCGTAGTGAACCACACCCTGACGACCTCTGTATCATATGAGCTGTCGAAAGGAGATTCTGTGCTCCACCGCAGAGCACCGCTGCGCGACCGCACGCAATCGGCGGACGATTTTTTGCGGCGTCGCTCGGCGGTCGTTGGCGGCTTCGTATTGAATTCCGCGAGGGTCCCGCCGGTCGTGGCGCGACCGCGCCGCGTCCGCTGAGCATCGCTTACGTCATCATTTGCCAATGCGCGGCATCCTCGTTCGGGTGATCTCGGCTGTTTGAATTCCCAGGTCTCTTTGATTTGCTCGTTTTGGGGGTTATTGGTTGCATTTTCGTCTCATATTGCTTTTAATTCTGTTCCTTTTCTCATTTACATTTAAGGAAAGTTTCTTCCTTTGTGATTCTTCCCCTTTAAACGAGAGGAGATCCCTCAAACATGACTTGGCAGGGGTTTCGTTCGGAAAAAGTGTTTCGTTCTCCTGAATATGGTTTTTTTCTTCTACTGTCGTGGCTCCAATGTGCTGTTCACTTTTGTTCCCATCTCCCCAAAGCTTATCTCCCACTATTTGATAAAGTTTTTTTTTCCTTTTGGACGCATGACAGTTAAAGCCAATGGTGGCTGTTTAATGGTGGGAATTTGAACAGTAAAAGTCTTCACTGGAAAAAGTGCTGTAGTCTGAGCGCGCTATGGTGAAGCATTCAAATATCAGCTTCATGTCCTGTAGAGCGAAGCCCCTTGCTCGCCTTCTGTTCGGAGGAAACATTTTTTTTGATTCGAGATGTGCTTGCGCTATTGGTTGGCTCGTGGTACGTTTCTTAAAATATACAGCCCCGAATTCACATTTTTTCAGAAGCGCTTGGCGCAAAGTTTTTGTATTTTCTAAAAAAAAAAGGCCGCAGAAGGTGGCGTTTTACGCAAGACCCGATGGATTATACCTAAGAAATCAGAACATTGAGCAGAGGCCCTAGGTTGACAGAAGGAGAGGGTAAAGGTAGGGAGGGGCCCCCCCCCCAGAATTGCAGAATCATCAATTACTGGTTTCGTTGTAAGCTTTGGTAATTCTGGATCTTTCAAATTTGTGTCTAGAATATAAGATCCTAAGGCACTATTGAGCTATTACAATCCCAGAGGGGGTGAGATGTAT